CTGAGAGTGTATGTACGCGTTTCGTACGATTCTAAGAGCAAACAGTGCTTATTTCCGTGAACTATAATAAAGAGGCGGCTTGTTGGCTGCGAAGTATAGGCTACACTTTTAAATCTTATTCAGAAGAAACTCGGGTTTAAAAGGATAACTACAAGACGCCGATATTGGGAGATAACAGAACAGAAGAAGATCCGTGTCTTATTCACGAATTCTGGTTCCATGGTGGTTTAAAAGAATTGTACATGGCCTGCACTCAGTTCTAAGGGGATTATGGTTCCTGTGTTTTATTACGATAGAATTAATTCTGAGAAATGCGTAAGTCATATACTGCAAGCTACCCAGTACACTTCACTATACCAGGGGTCTCCAAACTTTTCGAAACGCGGGCCACATTAGGTAATTCAGCACTTTCAACGGACCAGATAAAATGAGAAATTAATAAGTCTAGGTATAGGAGTTTTATTGAAAGCACAGAAATTCATAAACTAAATACAAAGTACGGGAGAATAAATTATCGTATATTAATGACAAGAGACAGTAGCAGCAAAAGCTCATATTTTCATCATAAATTATAACAAAACAATTAATGTGAATGATGGAACTCTTTTTGCATTCTTAAAATCTGATTAAATCGAGGTTCAAATTTTGAAAAGCTTATCACAAGTAGCGACTTTAAATGTTCATCGGATAAATTTGCCCTGTATTTCGACTTGATGTACTTCATCTGGGAAAAAGTTTGTTCACACAGATATGTCGTCCCAAAAATGGTGATAAATTTACAAGCAAATTTCTTTAAATTTGGAAATTGCTCAGAGATAAGAAATTTATAAAATTCGATCAAATTTCTTTCCCTGTGTTTGTCTTTCATATATGATAATTTTCCTGAAATTCAATAATTTCCATTTGAATTTGACTTGGGACATCTGCAGCATCACAGTCAAACGGATTTTGAAACAATCTAATTTCCTGAGCACTGGCATCCAAATCAGCAAATCGCTTTCGAAATTGTTCTTTCAAATCTGAAATCACTAAATTTGCAAACGAGGAAGGAAATTTAGCTTCACCCTTTTTATGCAACTGCATANACATTCCTCGAGAAAAGACCGAAACTAACGATGGTTAAGTGCATGACAGCGAATGAAATTAACGATAGAAATAACAGGTTTTAAAACAGAGCTCATATCAACGTGTTTTGCACAGAGTGCTTGTTGGTGGATAACACAGTGAAGAAACACTGGCTTTGATATTCCTGCATCCTCACAAGCTTTTGTGATTTGGCCAACCAAACATATTGTAACGTGTTTGAAATCCAGAAGAGTTACTTCCATGGAAACGCTAGAACAGGCCGTTGCCTAGGAAGTAACAATAGCGATACAGTAATTCTAACAGTGAGCATTGCATAGAGATGAGTTTCAACGGTTACAACAAAGGCTCGTTTGCATAGCAGCGGCCGAGGTTATAAAACGGGGTTGAATGCATTCGAACAGCGAGTCTACCAATAACCGCTGAAGAAGCCAGTTCGGTATTAGCCTCCATAGAAGAAGCAAGTCTGGAATTAGTCGCCGAGGAGGACAGTGGATAATTGTACTCGTGATTGTATAAGTGAAGTGACCAATAAAGGCTCTACTGAATTTGAGACCTACGTGGATTTACTTGTTGCGGGACACACAGAAAACACGTAACAATATTTTTATAGCAGACATGTTTTTTCCTCCATCAACTGTCACGCAATGCAGACGGTTCCAGTCCAAATTATATTCTGTTAGTGTTTTTTGTATTTCTTTGAAGATACGTGTATCATCTCCTGTTGTAGTGCCATGCATGCTGTGAAGTGACACTAATTCTCGTGTGACATTAAGTTCATCGTGGACGCCACGAAAAAATACTAATAGTTGAGAGGTATTACAAACATCAGTTAAAATCTATGAACAAGTATTATTTTACCAGTATTCATTGGAAAATTAGTTCAATTGGCGCATTTCTGCACAATCACATCGCGGGCCGTAGTTTGGATACCCTTGCACTATACGATCATATCGCCGCAGCTGATTGAGCAGAAAAGGCGACAACCCACGCAGTGAGCGCATACAGCGAAAGGCTCGCAGCACGAACACTTCCTACGTCGCTTGAACTGAAACTGATTATTTTCTTAAAACGGGTCGTTGTACAAAAACATTTCTACGTAACGTAAAATGTCGATCTTTAAATACCCCACAGGCAGTTCCTCCTCTATCCTGTCCGGTTAACCGTACGAAATCTAAATAAACCGTTTAGCTGGAACATCGTCGTTAAATGACCTACAGCCAATTCAAGCGCTTTCTTGTATTCACAGAATTACTGAATGGAAAGTAGATCAACAGAAGCAATATCGCTCTTTACAGGTTGTCCCAAAAGCCATGTTGAATTAATGGCGTGATACAAAATAACCCGTGTGCTTCAAATAACATAGGCAGCTCCTTGCTGTGACCATCTCCATTTCTGAGAAACTCTGCCACCTGGGGTTCAGTACCAACATGCCTATACCATTCTGGTCCTCATACTTACGCACCGTCTTGGGGACTTAAAACTTCGATTTGTTTCATTCTGGTCCGTCACACTAATATTATGAAAAAGCTAAATAGTTCCGTTCAGTGTGACTGTGTGACAGTCCAAACCTTTTGCAACTCTTCAATGGAAGCTATTGTCCTCTTTAGCGATTTCAATAGAGTGACTGATTTATTGGGAAGACCGATTCATTAGCATGTTAAGACTTGCTTTTCGCATCTGGACAGAAACAACTGCCTTTTGTTACCTGCAGCTTGGGTGAACGGAAAGGGAGAGAGGCCACCACAAAAGGCAAGTCTGTAGTTTGCCGAAGATGTAAATTTTGTTTTGCTGATAGGGTAGCTGTTATAAAGATGTCTTCGGAAGGGTGTAATTGGACCCTAAACTAAGAAATAACCGCTTTGACATGTGGGGTTCCGGGTTCTGTATCTTTGGATCTCGTTATTCTCAAAGTTCGTTATGTGATTGTGTAGTGCTGATTGTATGATGGATTTGGCCTGTTAAAATCAACTAATAGGAAACTATCCTTGTCTGGGAGAAAGGCCGTCGATTCAAACCCTATACAGGGGATGAAGCGACGCTCCCGCAGGATAGAGTTTGGAGAAGGACTTGGCGTTTTGAATCCATCAGAGGCAGACGTCATTGCGCTGCACTCTCCAAGTTTATCTAAATTATCAGTCTTTATTTGGTTCGATTAATCTTTGATAATAATAAAAAAGGGCACATTACTCCGTACTTGCTAATAAAGTTATAGTGTTTGCTTCTGAAATAAACAGTTTGTGGAGAGCAGAAATAGTGTCTTTGATTTCTAGCAGTGGACTGGTTTTAAATGTGCAGTTTCCACGTTGCCTCAGTTATTACCGTGGCACGGTCTTGAGAAGAGTCGAGTGGTCTACCGAAGCCGGCAAATAAATATAAAGATAGAAAGGGGACGGTTACAACTGGTTAAGATTTTCTTATTTCAGTTATTCACGCGTGAATAACTGAAATAAGAAAATCTTAACCAGTCACACCGAACGGAACTATTTAGCTTTTTCATTTAAAACTTTAATAAACTAAACAATAAGGCACAGTCAAGAGGATCGGTCTTAACCTTAAAAAGAGTAACTGCAGAGTCGAAGCTTCTTAGCTTCCTGATTTCGCAGTGCATCGGGATATTTTTATTGTTTCTTTTAACAGAACAAGGTGAAGAGCTGTAGGGTCATTCGACGTGTTTTTAAACGTCTTCTTTTATGTCTTGGCAATGGCTTGGGAGGACGGGGTAAACGACAAAAAGTCTGTCAGGATAGCAGATATTCTGGCGAACACTCAAACCGAGCACTGCCCGACTGCAAGTCACACCCACGTTCAGGCCGGCGCGCGCTGGCGGTTCTTTCGCAATCTGTACTTCTCGGAAGCAGCAATAAAAATGGGCCCAGACCGGCGTGCATAACATAAGTAATCACAGCTCAGAGACTGTTAAAACTGGTACGTAGTATAATTCAACTATGATTATTTACGTGCAAACTCAACCCAGGGACCGATTACAGAGTCAGCACAAGTAAAAAGAAAAACAAAGAACTTACAAACAAAATACAAAGTAAAGAAATTTATATAATTCAATTCATTCAATTCACATTTATTTACGTGCAATAACTTAACAGCACAGTGGCCAATTACAAAGTCAGCACGAGTATATAAGGTACAGAAAATAATTAAAACAAAATACAAATATGACAAACAAATCTGTGAACATAAATCTAAAGAAGACTGAACTATATACATACATTTATGAAATATTACGAATGTTGCTAATACTGTTAGTAACTAAATACTAAGATAAGACACCTGGGAGTGATAGCATAAAATTAATAACAAGTCAATAAATTAAAACCAATTACATAAGAAAATTAAAGTTAGCCGAGGTATACACATTTGTAGTGAATGAAAACACCAATCAAGTAACACCGTAAAAGGTTTGGTACATGCTTGTAAAATATGATTCAGAGAAACCGCTCCGTCTGCAAATATGTCGAGATCTTTACCCACCGCGTTGGTAGCAAGGGCGCACCGAGAAGAGGGACAGTGTCTTTTTGAGGGACGAAAGCTAAAAGTAGAGAAGTCTCGAACATGGCANGAAAAATAAAGTTATCATTAATAGGTGAGAAAAGTAAAATAAATAAATTTACAATGGTTATGCCATTATGTGACGAGAAAGGTTAATATTCATATATACACAAGAATAAAAAAATCCAACGTAATGGTGAAGTGGGGCCTGGTCATAACAATAGGCCATAAACAGCTATAGGGCTTGTCAAAATAAATATCCACACTTTCTGAGCTTTGCGTGCTTATATAATGATAAAACCAAGAATTTCTTTAGGGTTTCTGCTTACTGTTTCTTGAGCGTGTGCACCCGTGGGTGCGGATGTCAGAGGAGACTCCAAAATCCACCACTACTACAGGAAGTTACTCACCCACAAATGAAGGTTTAGCTTCGTTCAGCAGTGGCTCTAGCCGTTCCTTCAAAATGGTAAACAGGCTTCGGGAACTGAACACCCACCTGAAGAAAAAAAAAAAAGCAATGTACTGTAAATATCAAGGGAAGTCCGTGGCCTGAAGTTTGTAGCAGGCAGAAAATGTTGTAAGATTTCCAATTTTTTAACTTCCAGAATATTTGCCCCTCACCCCTCGATATGTCCAACTGAATACCGCACTTGCAGTGAACTCATCTGCAGTAGGCACGTGCGACTGACAGCGCGTCAAACGACTGAAATTACTGACGCTTCATTAACATAAGCTGTAACGATGCCGCCTCCATGGCACCACAACTTGTGAAACGGGCATTAAGTGATGTATCCTACCCTTCAAATACAAAACAACGACTGCGAGGCTGTAGGGACTGCAGAAACAACACGCCAGAACTGGTCTATGTGATAGAGTCCTTTTTGAGAAGTTAACGATCGGAGAGATAATAAACTTTTACAAGTCGGAAGGTCGAGGGTTCAAGCCCCGATGAGGTCATTGGATTTTTTTTTTCAATTTACCCAATCCTTCCGACTGCACTATGGCCCTGGGGTAGACTCAGCCTCTAACAGAAATGAGTACCAGGAATCTTCTTGGGGGCACAGGGCGGCCGACGCGTAGGGCTGACAACCATACCACCATCTATGAGCCGATTGTCTAGACCAGGCATGTCCAACGCGTCGATCGCGGGACGATTTTTGGTCGATCTCATAGGCCTATAAGGAAATTATACGTGAAAAGCATGTAAATTCACTTGCAATATAATATGATTATATTCAGATTTTGAAGGGTAAATACGTGTTAAAGTAGTCTGTACTATCAATGTATGTTGCTTTTACAACAAACATCATGCGTCCTGTTATTTTTACCAATATTTTTGGTTGAAGAGAGGCACGACGATACGAGGGAGTGGTAGATCACTGGCAGTTTTGACACTAATAAGTCGATTACAACCTGTTTCAAGTTGGACATACCTGGTCTAGAAAATGTGGGAGCCTCAACACCTCACAACCCTACGGGCCTCTACGGCCTGTTACAGGGATAGCTTTACTTTATTTTTCTAAAAGTATACTAATTTGAATGATCAAGTAAAGGAGTAGGCCGCGCCACAGCTCAAGCGGTTAGTCGCTGGCTTCCCAACGCGGCGGCCCGGGTTCGACCCCGGGTCTGGTCAAATGGGATTTGTGGTGGACAAAGTGGCGCTAGGGTGGGTCTTCTGCGAGTACTTCGGTTTCCCCTGCCAATCTTCATTCCACCAAATTCTCCATGATCATCATAATCACCCGGGGCAGGTACAATAGGCCAATCAGTGGCCGACGTGCGGAGTGGACCCAACTGGACTTCACCCCCCACTACCGAATTAAAAAAAAATTAAAGGAGGACCAGATGGGCAGGTAATGTAGCATGAATGGGGGCGAAAAGGAATACATATAAGATATTTGTGAGAAAGCCAGAAGGAAAGAGACCACTAGGAAAACCAAGATGTAGGTGGGTGGACAATATTAAAATTGATCTTAGAGAGACAGGATGGGATGGTGTGGATTGAATCGATCTGTTATCAGAATAGGGACCAGTGCAGGGCTCTTGTGAACATGGTAATGAACTTTCGAGTTCCATAACATGCTGGGAAGTTCTTGAGTAGCTGCAGAATTGGCGGATCCTCATGAAGGTGTCAGCTTCATGAGTGAGTGGGTGAGTGAGTAGAAGGTAAAAAAAGGTAAAGTTGTCTCTGTGCTTAACTAATCAAGCACTACATCATGAAGACGAATGGGGGAGCAGATGTATAGACCCATGTTTTCTTGACCTCGGCACTAGTTGGAGGTGAGTGGTCAGCTTCAAGCCCCGGCCGCATTAACCCCGGGGAAAGAACCCCGGTACCTTTTGGATAGGTTTGGTGGAACCCCAAGCCATTCTGGTCAAGGAGAAGTGAAAATTCTTGCATCCCCCGGGACTCGAATTCCGATTCTTCGGCCGTCCAGCCCCATAGCCAGTTGCTGTACCGACTCCCCCATGAGTGAGTGACATCATCACGAAATCCAGGGCCCTAAATGTAACCTGCCCGCCACTGGTCAATATCTTGAGTTGGATGAATCAAATCTACACCCTCGTACCCATTTCTTTAAGAACTATTTTAATATTATCCATGCCTAGGTCTCCCAATTGGTCCCTTCCCTTCAGAGTTTCCGATTAAAATTTTGCATGGCTTCTCAACTCTCCCATGTCCGGCACATCCTTCATTTTATTAGCCTATTAATATTTAGTAGAAAGCTCAAGTTATGAAGCTCCACAGTATCGAGTCTCCTGTTACTTCCTTCACTTATGTACCGTGCTCTGAAACAGCCTCAGTGCATTCGTATGTTCTTCCTCTAGAGGGAGAGATCATCATCATACAGAGAGCCAGTTAAAATTATACGCAGTTTGTATACAAAGCAAACATGTAAACAAACACACGTAATATGAAACTACAGTGAACTAAAACGAAGTGCCATACAGCCAAAGCATTATGGATCAGCCGTCAGTGTCGGACAGCGCTGCTGCTTTCGTCACACTGCACAAGGTCCACATTTCGATAGCAAAATGCCTCCCTCCGTCAGGAACTATACTACATTATTTTATAATGACGTTCATATTATCAGTTGACTTCAGTGCTCACGTGATCTGAAACGAAAATGCTTTTACAATATTTAAACCCCACCCCACAGAACTCAAATCGGATGAAGAGGAAAAAATACAGCAATTCCTAGAATCACCTTATCAGCTGGAATATCCCCTTAAGCCCTTTAAAAACAACGAAATAAAAAACATCATAAGCAGTAACTTAAACCACCAAAAAGCTCGAGATTACGATTTGATCACAGGGAAAGTATTAAAAGAACTCCCAGAAAAGGGAATACGGTACATCACACAAACATTTAATGCAATCCTGCGTACTGGCTACTTCCCAGACCAATGGAAAGTAGCTCAAGTGATACTATTCCCAAAACCAGGTAAACCACCAGGAGACACAAAATCGTACAGGCCCATCAGCCTATTACCCGTACTCTCAAAAGTTTTTGAAACACTACTTCTAGCAAGGTTGAGACCACTCCTTAACGAAAACAACCTCATTCCTGACCACCAATTTGGGTTCAGACAACAACACGCAACAATAGAACAAATCCATAGAGTCAGTAAGAAGATTAGACAAGACCTAGAAGACCACAAGTACTGCTCAGCAGCCTTTCTGGACATCACACAAGCCTTCGATAAAGTATGGCACACTGGAATACTGTATAAACTCGGGAAACTGCTCCCCCTCAACTATTTTCTTATACTCAAATCTTACCTACAAAATAGATACTTCCTGGTTAACCGGAGTACCCCAAGGCAGTGTCTTAGGACCCATATTATACTTGATATATACAGCTGACCTACCCACCGAACAGAACGTGCTAACAGCAACATTCGCCGACGATACTGCCATATTGGCCTCGCATGAAAACCCGCAAACGGCGTCCCAGATCCTTCAAACCAAGTTGGACAAAATTCAACAGTGGCTTATTAAATGGAGAATAAAACCCAACGAAGCAAAATCAGTACATGTTACGTTTACCACCAGGAAAGAGACCTGCCTGCCCGTCCATCTGAACAACCACCACCTCCCCCAAACAGAAGAAGCTAAGTATCTTGGGATGTATCTTGACAGAAGGCTGACTTGGCGCAAACATGTTTAAAAACTCACCAAAATATACTGGTTAATAGGAAGAGCCTCCAAGCTGACACTTGACAACAAAATCATACTGAAGCCCATCTGGACGTATGGAATCCAACTGTGGGGAACGAGCTCAAACTCAAACATCGAAATACTAGAACGCTACCAGTCAAAGGTACTTCGCATGATAACCAATGCCCCCTGGTATGTGCTCAACAATGTCATCCGGAATGACCTTGGTATGACTACAGTCAAAGAAGAAATAAAACAACTTAGTGTTAAATATAGTAACAGACTTAACAAGCATCCAAACGCACTAGCAACAGACCTCATGAGCCAGCCGATTCGGAACAGAAGACTTAAACGCTTCGCGCCAAATGATCTGCCGGGCAGATTCTAAGCATTATATTTAGTTTATAAGCTAGATTAGGGTTATAGATGAAAGTTAGCTGTAAGTTCTACTCCTGCAAACACAACTAATCCGTACTGATTATTATACGAAAGGTGTCTACTGATGAGGAGCCTCCTACAAGCCAATATTATATGATCCCACCGTTTGCTTATTGTAACTTTCACAGATTGCAAAAAAATAGGAGACATTAAAAAAACAACATTTATGGTACACGAACGTCCTGGTTAAATGGTTAACAATCCTAAGTATTCACGACACTGCAGGTTCAAATCACGTCCCAGGGATCAGACATCCTGACCGAGAGAGTTCTGGTGGCTTACCCTGGGCCCTTCGGTCAACTGCCTTCAAACAGGCCCCATCCGCTTCCTTCTATATCCAGTCCAATTCGTAAGTCCTCTGATGTTACAGGCAGCTGTAAAAGAGTCGTTCAGCAGAACACTACCACACTACTACTATTTTTTTTTCCTTGGCACTACAGCCCCAGTGGGCCTACGCCTACCTCCATGAACTTCTCCGTCACTTCGGTTTTTATAGATCTTAGACATACGGTAGGACTCCTTGGGCGGGTGATCAGCTCGTCGCAAGGCCTCTACCTGTACACAAACACAGAAAAACGCATACAAACATCCATGCCCTGAGTGGGATTCGAACCCACGATCCCGGCTTCCGAGCGAGCGAAGACAGTGCATGCCTTAGATAGATCGGCTACCGTGACCGGCTACGGCTACTACTACTACTACTAAGAAGAAGACCAAGGACGCATAATGACTTCAAACGCACAAACATTGGGACCATGATTTTCAGTCTTATTCGGGGCATGCGGTATTGTAAGCGTTTACCTCTTTCCAATGTCATGTGTAGGTAGACACCTCGCGACTGTCTGATCTCCAGCCCGTATAAGAAAAGTAAACAGGGGCTCAAATAATAACAAAAC